AACTTTTAAATTGTCCTGTTTCAGAATTAACTTTTAAATTGTCCTGTTTCAAAGCTAATTCTTTTATTCTGTTTTTTTTTTTATTGTGTGCAATTTTCCGCATAAACTCTCCATTGCTTTGATAAAACTAATCGGTAAGAATTTTTCTTTCAAAATAAATTCCATTCTGTTTCTACCCATTCGGTGCTTGAAAATAATATTTTTAAAATTTCTTGTTTCGGCTTTAATTATTAAAATGTCCTGTTCTGGAAATAATTTTTAACATATACTGTTTCTGGCATTAATTATTCAAACGTCCCGTTTGGAAATTAATTATTAAAATGTTCTATTCCCGAATTCATTATGAAAATGTCCTGTTTTGGAATTAATTATTACTATACCCTGTGCTCTTAATTAATTACTGAGATCTCCTGTGTTATGAATTAATTATTAAAATGTCATGTGTTCGGAATTAAATATTGAAATGTCCAGTGTTATATATTTATTATTAAAATGTCCAATGCTAGAAATTAATTATTCAAATGTCTACGGATTTAATTATTAAATATCCTATCTTCGGAATCAATTACTGAAATGACCATTGTGCGGAGTTATTTAGATTAACATATCCAAGGTTCGAAATTAATTTTTTAAATGTCCTGTATTCGAAATTAATTATTTGATGACCATTACTCGTAATTTATATATCCTTTGTTATACGGAATAATTATTGAAATGTCCTGCGCCAGAAATTAATAATTAAAATTTCCTTTGTTGGCAATTAATTATTGAAATAGCCAGTGTGCGTATCTATCTATTAATATATCCTGTGTTCTGAATTAAATTTTCAAATGTCCTGTGTTAGGAATTAATTATTGAATTGACCCATGTCCTATTTTGTAATTAATTATTAAAATGTCCTATTCGGAATTGAAATTTTAAGATATCCTATTTCGGAGTCAATTTGTAAGAATTCCTTTCAGAATTAATTCTTTTAGTCTGTTTCTTTTATTTTATTCTGTACAACTTAAGGCATTAACTCGTCATTGTTTTGATTAAAACTAATCGGTAAGAATTCTACTTTCAAAATAAATTTCATTATGTTTTTTTGCTTAGTAACACCCATTCCGCGCTTGAGAATAATATTTTTATTATTTCCTGTTTTGCTTAGTAACACATATAAGGTTTAGCTACGAGCTTATCATAATAAAATGTTTTGGATACAAAACTCATTTTCATCTCGAAAGTCGGGTCAGGATTTTCGATCAATTAGCTTGTACGTTACTCGCGAGAGGATTTTTCCAAAATTTGAAAGAATGCTGATAATGTTTTTTTTCTGCATAGATTGATTCATAACAAATAAGATACTTAGGTATATTTATTACATATAGAGGACTTGACATCAGATTTCTAGCATAGATGAATATGGTTATAATCTAGGGGCATGTTCTGATCAGACACCCTATGGCAGTCGATAGGTAGATCTACCTAGAAGACTCGACTCATTAGGGTCACCGGAGCAACCCACGATAAAAATCCAAAAAATAAAAGAATTTTGTTAAACCATTTCAAATCATAAGACAATTTATAAACATATTATTTTAGTTCAGAAAACATTCACAAATTAAATTCAGAATCTAATCATACACAATTTCAAAAACAAGTTATAGACTCTAATATACATACAAAATAAGACCTACATGCCCCCTAATTACAAATGTATCGTACTTCGCAAGCAACACCGAATGAACTCCCACACTGATGTTAATACTGCAAAGGAACAATTATTTAACCTAAAAATGTGAGTAATAGAGTGAGCTTTGGAAAGCTCAGCAATACAAAATTACCAGATGAAGCTAAAAGAGAAGTCGATATATGGAAGCATGATATTTCCTTAGTTATCCAAGAATATACACGTTATAGTAAAGAGTTGAGGTCTCATTAATTAATTATTTAGATAACAGTTAAGATGCTTACAAGTCAAAGGGAATGTTCAGAGAGATAGATTCAAAAGATGGAGTTGGGAAGTCTAGTGTGTTTCAACAAAACTAGAAATAGTAGTTTATTTCACTAATTAATCTCTTGGTACAACCTTTAGGTTTATCGGTATTATCAAAATTTATCCAATGACATTCACCTAATCCTCAGTCATAGGGGTAATTTGGGTCATTTAAGTACACGAGGTTATTTCGGTCAATTTGGAGGTCTTGATATGGTTCAAGGGCATTTTGGTCATTTTAACACTCAAGTGTATATCATACATTTTCTTCGATTCGAACATATAAATTATTCTAGTAATTTATTTATCAGGTGCTTAATCCAAAACCCGAAAATTCTAAGTCTTTGGCCATCTTGGAGATTAAGAATTGGTTATCTAATATTTTCTAAGCAAAACTAGCATTTTCCATATACATCAATAATTTAATCATATCAATATGTCTTTTCAAAGTAATTTTTTCATTTTTAGGGACAATTCTTGTCATTTTATAACATCGGCGTATTTTTTTGTAATTTTACCCCATAGGTATTTTTGTAATTTTACTTAACAGTAATATTTTCATAATTTCTCATTCAAGTAATTCCAGCATTTAACCTTTAAAAAGATAAATTAGAATTTACAGATCTTGAGGTTGATTGCTTGACCATTTAATCACAAAACTTGAAATTTAATTCCTATCAATCTTCCAATTACTTATGCTATTCATCCAAGTCTTGTACAGTTTACTAACTTTATATTGTATTTTGTTCGAGTCTAGTAATAATTAACTACACATAATTTTTCAGTCATTCATCTATGCAATAACCAATATCAGCATGTTCCGTAAAACATGCAAAAAATAGTAATGTATTACCTTAATTTTCGTGCCATAATAGTCGACCAATTAAACTTCATTTGTTCTCTCTCGCACTTAAATTCGACATCCTATAATATCTCATAGATAAGGAAAAACAAATTACGTCAGAAACAAAATTTAATCGTAATAAAAGGATCGAATCGGATGATAAAACGCTGAAAAATAACTTATCGAGTTTAAATTTGATAAAACAGACTTTGGATTCAGACTCAAAACGTCAAAAAACGTTAGGATAAGTGGTCCCAAAAAAATCAACGACCGATCAATGGCCTGGTCAACAACGATCAACAGAAGTCAACGGCTCGACTCAACTCATTTGACCGGTTTAGCCAGTTTAAACTAGTTTGATCTGTTTTTTAGAATCATCCAGGAAAACTACGATCCCCACGCACGAGGGGCGGCGCGTGGGGCTTCACTGGTAACCGGAACGAAGCCAAATTTCCATAATAGAAGATCGTTGCCTCGGGTATCTTGCGCATGTGTTATCTTGCGGCGACGAGTGACGCAAGGCGATAAAATAAGCATTCAATTAAACGACCAAATCCTTCTCCGCTTCATTCTCTTTAACGACGATGGTGACAACGATACCATGACCACTGGTCGACGCGTAACGATGGTCTGAAGCTGATATCATAGGCTGTGCCATTCACAGGTAGCCAGTTGACGGTGAAACGATGAAAAACCTTAGGGATAGCCGTGGTTTCCGATGAAAGTTTGAAGGCCGATTCACGGCAAACTGCAACGAGATTCGACAAGAATCAACTTGGGTTCTGATCGCACAGCGACGTCGGCCTTAATGGCAAGGGTGGTGTACGACACTGGTGATCGGAGCATGAACGACAATAGAGGCGCGACGGTGAGGCTTTCATATAATTTGGGGATTTTCAATTTTAGAGATTTGGTTCTAATATGATTTTTGGTAGAATTTTATAGATCGAATGACTTAAAATAAAATATTTATTATTTTAATACAATGAACATAAGCTAGCCTAGTGGTAGAGGTATGGTTAGCCATACCTTAGGTGTTGATTTCAAATCTTTAGTAACAACACCCTTTTCCTTTTCTTTTTTCCATTTGGAGAGGTGAAATAGTACAACTCAAGATTAAGTTCCTAAATTTTCAATTGTTTCAAAAATTGTCTCAAAATTTCCAAAATCTTATAATATGGTCCCAAAATTGATTAAATAAATTTAAAGTAAAATCAAAAGAAAAAATTGGGGTGTTACAACTATAGTATTTTCGTATAAATTTAGCCCTCAAAATTACTTAATTACATCATTTTATACCCTAAATTACCTAACTTAAAATCTTAAATTCTAACTTATAAACCCTAAACCATAACCCTTTAACTTCTAAATCACAAACCATATACCTTAAACTCCAACTTAAAACCTTAAACAATAGTAAATGTTTTAAATATTGACGCAATTGAACAACTTCAAGAGTTAAATTTATGAAAAATATGATAGATGCGAAAATGATAAATTGAGTCTATTATAGGAACAAAAGTGACCCTTTAGGCTTAAAATTACCTATTTCGAAATTAATTAATAAAAATTACCTATTTCGGAATTAGTCTTTTACACTACCTGTTTCGAAATTAATTTTTAAAATTTCATGTTTCGAAATTAATTTTTAAATTTTCTGTTTCAGAATTAACTATTAACATTTTCTGTTTCGGAATTAATTTTAAAATTCATGATTCAGAATTATTGTGTAAAATTTCTTCTTCTTTTTCGAAATTATTGTTTCAAACATTTTCTGATCCAAAACCCTCACAACGTTAATTACTTTATTTAGCCGGAAGCAAAGGGCTTTGTTTTTCTGGAAAAAGAAGTATTTTCGGAGACAAAACTTGAACCCAAGGACGGGTTTCACTTGTAAAAATTTTATATATTCAATAAATTTTAATTTAATAATATTTAAATATATAAATATAATTATGTAAATTAAAAAATATAAGAATTTATTAAATATTTAATTAAATAAGAGTTGAATTAAAGAAGGATAATCTTATGTTCTCAAATTGTATGGTCTAATAATAATTTAGGTCATTGTAAGTTTAAATATTAGATAAATTAAATATTGTGTCTTGAATTTTGAGATTTTTTATAAAAAAAATTAATATTTCGACCAATGTCAATATTTAATCCTATAAACTATTGAAAAATACATGGAATCGCGAGAGCTACTGCTTAAATCCATTTTAATACACTCCATCTCTTCTTGCTTGTGTTGATCGACATTCGAATACTTTTGCATTTAAAGAATATGCCCCAACTGTATACTTACTTCTTTCATCATTGGTCGCATCTTCCCACTCAAGCTCAAGCATTGGTACGCAAGTTTAGCCACCATCATTACTTCTTCACGTTTTGCTTGCTTCATAACTCGACTGTCAACGATGTCGAACACTCGATTCTCTTCCACGGAATTGATGAAATACGAGGCTAAACTTCTACGATTTTCATCCCTTTCAAACGAAACCGGCTTTTCCCCTGTTAGTAACTCGACGAGCACCACTCCAAAGCTATAGACATCACTTTTCTCCGTGAATTGACTCGATTGAAAATACTCGGGATCTAGGTACCCAAACGTGCCTTGAACATTGGTAGTCAAGTGAGTTTGATCGATGGGAATTAGTCTCGATATCCCGAAATCCGAAACTTTCGCCTTGAACTTTTCATCCAATAAGATGTTGGTGGACTTGATGTCTCGATGGTAAATCGGAATAGAAGCCGAAGAGTGCAAATACGATAGGGCTTCGGAGGTTTCTTTGGCGATTCTTATGCGTGTTCCCCACGACATAAAAAATTCATCACTTTGGTCATGCAAGTACTGGAAAATCGTTCCATTGGAGACGAATTCGTAAACCAGTAACGGAACTTGTGTCTCAAGGCAGCATCCTAACAGTTTAACCACGTGTCTATGGTTAATCTGAGAAAGAATGGTGACTTCATTGATGAACTCTTCGACGTTCTCTGCAACCATTCCTTTGGACTTTTTAACGGCGACAATTCGGCCATCGGTCAGCATTCCTTTGTAAACGGTACCTTGTCCGCCTTGGCCGACCACTCGGTTCTTGTTGAAATTATCCGTTGCTTTATCCAACTCCTTGGAAGTAAATATCTTGGTGTTCTCTAAACCTCCATCCTTTGCAAACATTTGTTGTTGCAGTAATAACCCACCGTTGCGTTTGAAAAACTTTTTCTTCAACTTGATTTCCCTTCTTTTCTTTACAAATTTGTATAGCCACCATCCACCCATCACTAAGCACAATGATCCAAAGCCAAGACCCATTCCTTCAAAAATACGCATACAAACTTTTAGCTATACACCTAAATCGTTATGGTAATAAAGGTAAACATAACAACGGAAGTCTATCAAGTTTAAGTAAATAGTCACTTTAGCTTCTGTTCTTTTTTAATATTATGGACCCTAACACTTCATTTTGAGATAAAAGAAATCATTCTAGAATGAAAACTATTAGTCAATAAACAATTAACCCTCTAAAATAGAACTATTTTGTCCTAAAATAAAATATTGAAGTCAAAATAGTTAAATAAACAAGAATAATGAATGAAGTGACTATTTAGTTAAACATTACGAGTTTTTATCCTAAAATAAAATGTTAATACCACAATGCTACAAAGCAAAAGAATAGAGCCAAAATAATTTAGAATAAAGCCAAAAATAGCCCCAACCGTTATTAAAATAATCATTTTAATTCTTATTCTTTTCTCTCTCTTTGGAGTATTTTTTGCCCCAACTTTCATTTTAAGACAAAAAGACTCATAACGTTTGACTGAATAGTCATTTTAAACCTTATTCTTTTTTTTCGAAATATTTTTGCCTCCAACATTTAATTTTACGGTAAAAAGACCCATATTTTGGAGCATTAATCGTTTGTTAGCTAACGGTTTTCATCCATAGAATGATACTTTTACCTCAAAATGAAATGTTGGAAGTCAAAATATTCTAAAAACATATAGATCAAAATAATTATTTAATCAAAGGTTAATATTATTTGTGACATTATAAGAAAACATTTTAACATTATGGCATAGAGAAATTAAGTGAAATAGGGGATAGAGAGATTAGAGTGGATAAGAGATAAATACCTAAAGGAATAACCCAAGTTTTTCTTCGTTCACATTGGTAAGAGCCGGGCCTATTAATACACTTCACTTCCCCACAAGGATTTTTAGTCTCATCAAGGCATTCATCAATATCTAAATCATTTCATTAAAACAAATTAAGAAGCAATCAAGGCATGGATGATTCTAGTTAGTAAAACATTCTTACCTTGGCATCCATTAAGAAGATATGCATTCCCTTGATAACCATGGTTACAATAACATCGAATTGATTTGTCCAGATGAGGCTCGTCAAGAATCAAACCGTACTGCTTACAACTATATTCTTTTCCAGATTTGCTCAACTCAAAAGCCTCATCGGGTATTGCCCAATCGATCACAGCACCAACAGATCCGTCCGCCGTATACGAATCCCTCCAGTTTTGCTCCACCAAGTAAGCTGAGTTGCACCCATCCGATCCTAATCGGAGTGACCTAGCATCAAACGTTTTCAGAACCGATGTCATTACCGTCTCGCAGCACGTACCTGTTTGAACATTGTACGATACCATCATAAAGTACATATAAAATTAAATGACCAATAATGTTTATTATGATTTGATTCTGATAGTACCTTGAGAGCAGGTGTTGGTAATATTACCATCGAAGATCGTGCCCGAGGTACATGCCACGATCCTATTCCTGAATTCCGAAAAGAAGAAAGGGCTGCCTGTTAGGTCCACCCCAAGGCTGGCTTCGGTTCTCGAACAGTTCATCGAAACGAGCGGACTCTTGACGCGGTGGAACTCAAGGTCGGAGTCGTAACCGGAGGATCTCAGAGAGAAGTTCAACACCTCCATCTGTGTTGTCTTTAGTAAGACTGTGGGAGGGGTTGAGGTTTCATTGCAGGAGACCTCAAACCACGAATTCAAGGAACAATGGAGTCCGATTCCAAAAGGGTAGGGAACTTTAGTGTTCCCACAGGTTTCTTTGCAACCAGGTTTTGCGGTGGAAATTGCTGCTAATGCTGGATTGGTAATTAGCAAAAGCAAAATACTCAAACATAATGCAAATGTGGCCACCATTATCTTTCTGGTTGCTCCTATTTGGATCGTTTAACCCAACTTTATAGGGGAAACTAAAGAGAAACAGAACATGTATCTTTGCACCAAGGGAGGAGGGTCATGTGTCACGTCCTCTGCATTAAATGTTAAATACTAGTCAGATAAAGGATTTTTTTCTTTTTTTTTAATATAACTTTTTTTATTAATCTAAAATGTTTACTGATAGCACTTGTTCTAAATATTTTTAATAACTTGATAATAAATATTTAAATATCGTACAATCTCTTAAATATGAGATTTCTAACTATAACCACTTAAATAATTTGATTTATATTTTTTAATATAACTTGAATATTTTGTTAAAAATATAAAGTTGGAGTAATATAGATTGCAGGAAAAAGTCAAGTAAGAAATAATTGAACAAGTACCCCGTCTACTTCGAGATAAAGAGTTCAGCACGCGAATGCAAATGCTCTGCCCCCACCTTGTGTGCCCCTTTAGAAAAAAACACGCCATGTGTCTTTTTTATTATTATTATTATTATTATTATTTCTCTTTTATATTTCTGTTGAAAATTATTTTTAAAAATTTAAATTTAAAGTAAAATAATTAAATTAATTAACAGGAAATAAGAATGAAAATTTAATTTACTGAATTGAAAAGTAAAAGTAGTTTTTATTTTTATTGTTTCAGAAAATATTTAATTAATATTATTTAAAATAATTAAATATTCAAATTGAAATAAATATTTTAAAAATTGTTCTAAAATAAAATTATTTTATAAATTGAAATATAAAAAACAAAATCTCAATTTAAAAATTTTAAAGTGTTAAAAATTAATAGAATAATGAATTGACATAATTTAATTGAAGTAAATTTACAGTTTGAGAAGTTTGTGTATATAACAATTATATTATAAATGGATAGTAAAAAAATATTTTGAAAAAAATATAAAAAATCAATTAAATGATTGAAAAATATAAAAAAAATTATCAAACTTACTATTTTATTAAATTTATGAAATAATTTCTAATTGATAAGAGATAAAATTGTGTATTATAAAAATATATATTATATAATAATTATATTATAAATTGATCAATATATTTACTTTTTAAATTTTATAAAAATTAAATTTAAAGTTATTTTGTTATTATATTTAAATTTGCGCGTGAGCGTGCGCACACACAGATATATATATTTAATCATTTAAAATAAAATATTAATTAAATATTTTTGATTCAGTATAAATATTTTTACTATTTTATTATATAAATTAAAGTTTCATTTTCCTTTTTTATTAATTAATTTTAATTTTTTAGTTTTTAACATAAAATACACTGGAGAAAAAATGTAAAAATAACAGGTGACATATTCTTTTAAAATGAGGCACAAATAAAGGTCCAAATTAGGGGCATAGGATTTGTATTCTTCAGCACGAGTTCTCTTAACATTGATGGGTTGACTTCCAAAAGTTATATATATACACACACTAGGGTTACATACATACATACATGCATTCATATATATACTAGGGGTGTTTACGTATGGATATTTTTGGATATTGGAAATTTTGGGTAATAGTTATTCATTTTGTGTCTCTATTCATAATAAGTAGGTATTTACAAATCAGGTACCCATAAAATTTGATACCTGTATTTTCTCATAAGTATTCAATTAATATTTATTTATTTATATTTTCTTTTTCTTTTTTTGAAAAATAACACATAGAAGACATAAAATCTAAAACTTAAAAGTGAATAATACATTATCCAAACATAAAATCTTGAAATTCAAATTGCATAATTCAAAAGTAAAATTTAGAAATCTCAAAAAAATAACATTTAATAAATAAAATTAAATTTAGAATATTTTGAGATTGAAAAAAAACAATTTGAGAAATAATTTAAATGTTAAGGTGAAATAAATTAGAAAATAAGGGATTGAGAATGTTAGGGTGAAATAATTTTGAAATTAAAAAGAAAATTTTAATTTAAATATTAATAATAATAAAAAATAGAAAAAGGATAATCGAGTTGGAAAGTATCCGATTAAGGTAAATTTTGTAACCTTAGCCCGACCCAAAAACTTACCAAAAATAGTGAGTCGACTACCCGACTCGCAGATTTGAGTATTTTCCTTTAAAATACTTGATAATTTTAAATTAGGTCATCGACCTAACGGTCGGATAATTCAAATAAAGTATTTTTGAACATTCATTATATATATAAAATAAAAGGGTAAATTATAATAATAATCACTAATGTTTAAGAAAAAATTGTTACCACTGACATTTAAAAATTTATGATCTAATTGTTAATATTATTGATTTATAACAAAAATAATTATTGGATTATTACTTTTCACTGAATTGATGACAGATATTTTAATAAAATAGTAAAAAGGAAATTATCCTCAAATTATTGCTAGAACATCACCCAAGTCCAACGGCAAATTAGTTCTTAGAGTTTTCCGATCCCAAAAGAGCATTGATGTAGCTCTTTCAAACCTCTTACATAAGATTAATCTCTACATATTAACCTTCCGAACAACCCCTTTTCCCGCTTATATAGACTCAGATCTCCCCAAGGACTAAGGAGCAGCACACCCTTAGGAAGTTACGACGTATTGACATGAATTTTGATAGATTAATATGATTTACTTGAGTTAAATTTATTGTCAACGAATTATATCTCTTAAAGATAAATTTTATTATTCTTCACTGAATTATATTCCTTCTTCTATTTTATTTATTGTATTTTCAAATCTTTTAATTTACTCATTGAAATTTAGAATTGTTCTTGTTTTGATCATCCTTATTTATTTTATTATTTTCGTATGATGTGATATTTTATTATTATTATTTAATAAAATAATTTAAAATAAAAAATAAAAACAGAAGGTGATTGGACGTCATCATTGGTCGTCATTCGATCTCAAATTTCATGGGTCGTTTCGTCTCGACACCTTGAGTCTGAATCTTACTTTTATTTTGTTAGAACTTATCCCGAAGTCCACGAACTAGAGATCGAAATTGAGGAAGTCAAAATGTTTTGGTTGAGATTCAGGGTTTTGAGACATTTTTCGACGAAACAACCATAAGATTCGGACTCAGGGGCTCGAGGTGAATTGACCCATGAAATTTGGGACCGGAAGACCACCATCTACGACGGTCGATGGTGGTCGACTGTGGCGTTCGACCACCTTCAATTTTTATTTTATATTTTAAATTATTTTTATATTAAATAATAATAAAAAATGGAACGCCATATAAAAATATTAATAAAATAATTCAAGATGATCAAAATAAGAGCAATTCGAAGTTCAATAAATAAATTAAAAAAATTAAAAGTATAATAAATATAATAAGAGAAAGAGAAAATAAAGTTCAATAATGAATAATTTATTTTATCTATCTATTAATCCTATCAACTTTCAAATAATCATAATTTTCTTACACTCCTTGACCACAAACCTTTAAGAAAAACCTCTAACAATCTGACGAGATTTACCAAAACCAATTGACAGCTGACTACATCAAACAGGCTTGTCTATCCTATTAACTCATATATAATTAGGGTAAAGTATAGTAATGGTCATTGAACATTTCCGAAGCTTACATTTAGGTCCCTCAACTTTTAAAAATTGCAATACAGTCCCCCAACATTTATTCCGTTTGCAATATGATCCCCCAACTTAAACCACCGTTAGAAAATTAGGGTAAATTATATAAACAGTCATTGAACTTTTTAGGCACTTGAATTTAGGTCTCCCAACTTTTAAAACTTGCAAAACAGTCCTCAATTTTATTTTAAACCCCAATTTCCAAAGTAATTCAATTTCATTCTAAACCATTGATTCTACTAAATCATAAATGATCACTGTATGAGCAAATTCAGGTGAATCATAAATGATCGCACTGTAAAGCACTGAAGGGTTAGGAACTCAAATCTGATAAAAAAAATAGCATGCAAGAACATAGTGGTACTTAAATCATAATGCTCCAAATGAGTGTTCCGAATTTCATATAGTCAAAAGTTGAAGAAATGAGCAGAGTTTATGGGAAGTTGAAATACCGAATAGAGTGCTTCCATTTTTCTATTCGGGATGTTTAATCAATGCATATTGTTGTTCAAAGTTGATATAAACAGTTAAACAAACCTCAAATTTATATTGAAATAAATATTGTCAAATAGTAAATTCATGTTCAAAATTTCAAAACACCTTAATTTCATTCTAAACCCTAAATTCCAAAATAATTTAATTACATTCGAAACCTTAAATTGAAGTATTTTAGAATTTGGGGTTTAAAATTTAATTGAATTATTTTGAAATTTAGGGTTTAAAATTAAATTGAATTGCTTTAAAAATTGGGGTTTAGAATGAAATTGAGGACTGTTTTGTAAGTTTTAAAAGTTG